GAAGGCAGTCGTCCAAATTTTGTACATCGCACCCTGTTTATTGTCAAGGATGCGCAGAATGAACTATCGGGTCATTCAGCACATGCTCGGTGCAGTAATCACAAAAGGTGTCTCTTCCTCACTTCATATACCAACCGGTGGCTCACTTTCATTCATATTCCAAATTCCCCGAGCTATTCCGGATGCATTTCGAGAATTATCCACGACATCGCCTCCTTGCGAACCCCGCCCATTGCTGGTAGAGCTTATTACCTTGTGTGCTCTGCAAGTTGGCTCATGCCATATCCACCCCAAGCATGATCGGTTCCCTTCTGAAACGTTTCCCGTTCCCTAATGTGAATCTTCAGGTAGGCCCCAATTTTCGGGCGGTCACATGGTGATTTATATATGGAGAGATGTAGGGAAACAAATGCTCCATCACTACAATAACTTCAAGTAAGCAGGAAGCAACAGAAAAGCGTTTCATGAACAATACATTCAACATGAAGAGAAATATAAGTGAGTTTAGTGACCATGACTTGATATGGTGATCTACCCATGATTTCAAGGCAGTTTCTCGCCATATTTAGCACCAAAGTAAGAATCCCAGACGCTTCTGAAGAGATAAAAAGGACTTCCTCGGAGAATTATCGACAGAAGAATCACGGAAGAGCCTCTAGCAACCCATTTGAAATGCATGAGTCATGGCGACCACCCCTAATAAGAGTCTGCGGGTTTTCTGTATTCTGTGCCAGGCCTACGCACAATTGCGGACGCAACCTGTGCTCGTTCTCTCCGAGGAGGACTCTTATAATCCTCTCGTTACGGTGTGGGTTTTCTCTTATAGAAGACTGCCCGAAGACATAGACATACATTTGTTACAGAACAAGTACGTCAGATATGGTCCAATCCGAAGATGTTGCGAAAGAAGATGTTGAAGCGATGAAGAGGAAATATGAGGTACTATCTTTGGTTTCGGCTTTTAGACCTTGCATGCGGATGTTTCAGCAAAGAAGGCAACAAATTCTACTAGAAGAACAGAAGAAGAAAATGGACGGTATGAACATTTCTTCCGAGGATGAAGAATTCGATGATGAAATGTTCTTGTCGGCTGCTCAACGTCGTAAAGAAAAGGTGCGATTGTTCGCGTTATAGAAAATTTCTTTTATCAAGCGGTTTCCCTGTTTCACCTTCTCAACGTTTGTTTCCTTAATCTAGAGCTGCTGCTGTAAGGGATAAAGTATAGGGCACTGAAATTAGGCCCATGTCCGAGGGTATTTCACTTCCAAGAATGCTTTCATACTTCGCGATTTGGTCGCTCTTGTCGCGTGACTAGACCGACCAAAACGTGAAATATGGACACATCGCAACGCAGCAACTCGGTGTTAGTTTGCTGGTCATATATGGAGGAGAGGGCGAGTGACGCAATTTTTCACGATTTGATGTACTGTCTTCATCTGTCTGAGTTGCACAGCACGGATACCTTCACGAGTTTTTCAGAAAAGAGTCGAGAGCTTTCTCTTGCATAGTTGCTTTATTAGGGTGAGAGTTTTCGTCTGAGAAACAGTACACTTTTGAAAAGAAAAAAAACAAACTGCGCAGTATGAGCAGTTCTATTCTGGAGGGGAAATTTGATACCTTTTCCGGTATATTCATTTTTTTCCCATGATTGTAAAGCTCTGAAATGTGGCGTCTTTGTTTCATAATCGATCACAATAGATATCGCTTCTGCTGTTGTTTTCTCCTCAGCTGCTTTCGTGAGTGATTCGTGAATACATGACTGTTTGTTTCGCATAATGAGCAAAGGCGCTGAGGCAAGTGGGTTCAGAAGAAAGGTCGGTGAATCTCACGCTCACATGAAGTGCCTGTTGAAGTATCTTCCCAGTGGTGTGGAACGAAAAACTTGGGTAAGTGGGATGAGTGCGCTATTTGTACTCACTAGCATGGGTATTGGCCTCACGGCAACTAAGTGAGCGTTCTTAGATCGCGATTCCGATTACGATTCAGATCCAGGCTTGACAGGCTAAGGGGTGTGATGGGGATTGCCAGTGACTGAAATTCGGGCCGAACCACCACTTAGGAGAGGTTACGATGGTTCGTGAAGGGGATCTCATGTTGTGCAAAATACGAAATTGGCGACATCTAGATAAATGGTTTGGTTTGTTAGCATTACCCACTATTTGTGAGGTACAGCCTCAAAGGCAGAGCCCATGACACCAGATGGTGGGTAGAGGAGGTGAAATACGAATGATAAAGAGCTAGGTAATTTCTCGGAGCAACGTAGAAAAAAAACCGTTCAAAAGGTCCCGTATAGGACTTCATGCAGATATAATAGATACTTGTGCGTGCATATAATGAAGAAAAGGTGTTTGTACGAATTTTCATGTTATTTAACGATATCAGCTGTTTTCCCGCAGAAACCTCAGCTTACCGCAGAAAGTTCCTTTGAGCGAACGTCGCTATTACCTGAATTTTAGCACTGTGTGAACAGTTTCTTCTTAGCATTTCGTTACTTCTGCAGCTTCACCGTCGAGCACTGCTGAAGCATGTTCTTGCGCCAACTTCAGCACAACAAGAAGAAGAGATGGCGGCAAAGAGGCGAAAGCAAGCAGCAGATAAAAGAACGGAGGAATCCAGAAAAACCTTGCTCGAGAAGCATGCTGAACTCAAGGAACGAGATGCTGGTAAGCATTTGAAGATGGATAGCGTCCAAGTTTTGTTCCTTAATATTCTGGTTCATGTCAATTCAGTTTCTATTTTGCAGAAATGGATCCCAAAGAAAGACAAAGACTGGAAGAAGAGATCCTACTTGAAAGTGTCACACAGAATAGCGCTCTTCATGCTGCTGTGGAGATCGCTCATGGTGTACAATATACCGAGTCATTTCGAACATCGTATGTTCCCCTTGTTGTACCTTCTCCTGAAACTGAATTTGCGAAAACATACAGTTTTCATCTTAACGTTTCCTTTTTTACACTGACATGCCCCGCCAATTGCTTGTATTTTTAGATGGCGTCCACCGTCACATATTCGAAACCAAACAGAAGAAGATTTTGACGCCTACAGGAAAAGAAAAGGGATAAGTGTAGATGGTATTGAGTGTCCACCACCCATTGGAAGCTTCGTTGTAAGTTAAGACTACCTTTATGCTAATTTAGGATGCTAGAAGCTAGTCATTCTGAAGTCATTTTAACCCATTGCGTACCGCGGCGTTTTCGCGAAAACCGGCGCCTGTGGCCGACGCCCTTTTATCGACGCGACTCGTGGCGCGCCGAGTATAAACAAATGTGATTTAATCATATACATATGCTATAAAAATATTGTATATACTTCGCATTATACATTACTTTTATATGCAACAATATGATAAGTGAAATTGAATACTATTACGTGTTAAAAAAGATAAGCCGAAAAATGCAGCAGTTGCTAAAAATGTTTATAAAACAAGAAGGGTTGGAAATGGAGCGCAAGACGTTTGCAGATTGTTCAGTCATTCTATTTTGCGATCTTTAGTCCAGTCACAACTTAGTTTTGGCTTTACTGGTTACAAAGAAATAAGCAAAGGATATAGTAGCTGAAGAATTTCCTGAAAAATGTCGATAACTTAGCTCTGGCTGGATCCCATCATTTCCCCTATTCATACCTTTTTCTAGAAGGCTTCAGGAATATACCGACCCACTTGGTCATAAAACAATGCCAAATAAGTTTTAAACAAAGCGTACTGCACCATGTGCAGCACGCACATACTGCACCATGTGCTGCACGCCATACAGAGACAAACGAGCGTGTTGCACATGGTGCAGCACGCGGTACGCAATGGGTTAAAGGCTATGCCTACGAATTGGCGAAGAATGCTTTTGTAACTCTTGTTCTATTTTCGAACCTCTAAAGCATTTGTGAGCTTCAATTTTTCATGTTTGTAAGACTGCAAGTTTTTCATCCACTTGGCCTTTCGCTAAAGAATTCCGGTGAACTGCATACGTTTTAGTTTTGATGTCTTTTGTATGGTGTATTTTTAGGAGATGAAATTTCCCAAGTGTATACTGCGTGCATTGAAAAGCAATGATATCCACATCCCAACTGCGGTACAGATCCAAGGAATACCGGTCGCGTAGGTTCATTCATAGATTGGCGAGAACATTTTGCCGTTTTCCTCCTTTGAAGCGCGCTCTTTCTGGTTTTCTTTAAGATCTCCTGCTTCAGCCTTAGTGGTCGCGACATGATTGGCATTGCGTCAACTGGTTCCGGGAAAACTTTGACGTTTGCGTTGCCTCTAATAATGTTCTGCCTGGAGCAAGAATACGTTATGCCGTTTGAACGTGGTGAAGGACCATATGCTTTGGTGATAGTGCCATCGGTGAGTTCATGCATTTCTGTATATTATGCTATATTCAGCGCGCGACCCAATCGCCCGAGCGATTTTATCGCGCAATCGAAAATATTTGATCGCCATCTGAATGCAGTCTAATCACTGGGGAATGATAGTAAGTGACCACTTGAAGGGGACTATATACACGAGTTTGTCCCCCATAGCTGCTGGGGCCTTCTTTGAATAAATCGCGGACGTTTTCTTTGGAAAAGCACGTAATACTGAAATAAATTTAGGAAGTAAGGCTGCTTAGGTTGCTGTAAATAGGTAATGATCTGCATCAATGGGTTCATCGTTGAAGTTGGAATTCTGATATAGGGTCACAGACTGCCGAACGGTAACGAATGAAATTATAGGTTTTGTGCAGGGAGCCGGAATCGCTTCTGTATTTACACCGAAGTGAATATGTAGGCATCTCTAGAATCGCAGGAATCGAATTATGATGGATTCGTAGTCTTTCCATTAGGGATTATTCTGAATGGCCGATCAACAGAACTAGGGAAATAATCGTTGGGTGACTGTAGTTCAGATCCTTTATGGTTCGGTCTTTCCTCGGTAGCCATGTCATGTGCACTGCATAGCGTGCTGCGCCGATCAAATCAGTTCCTTACCTTTTATTTCTTTTTTCTGAGAAACCTAATGTCTCACACCTGTATACTGAATGTCTTTCAGCGGGAATTAGCCAGGCAGATTTATGATGTAATTGTGGACCTATTCCAAGCAATTGAACGTGATTCTAGTTTGCCTAAACTAAAAGCAGGCCTATGCATCGGCGGAGTTCCTGTGCGAGAGCAAGCGCAGGTATTCAAAGAGTAAGTCAGATAAGTTCCTTTTCCACAGCATCTACTCTTCATTTTCTTTTGAAAACAATAACTTGTAGTGGAGTGCACGTCTGCGTCGCCACACCAGGTCGTTTGTCAGATATGCTTACGAAGAAGATCTTCAATCTGGAGGTATGTAGTGGATGGAAATACTCCTCTGATTCGAACGTTTCTTCCTCTCCCCTCGTATTAGACCGCTTCCAGTGGAAAGTCCTCTTCTCTAGAATACCATTTTTGGATATTTGACCTTCTGTTTTCACCAAACAGCATGTTGCAATAGGATTCTGCAGTTATGCAGTTTTCTCCTTCAAACGCATATGTTTCAGGTGTGCCGTTACCTAGTGCTTGATGAAGCGGACAGAATGTTGGATATGGGTTTCGAAGACGAGCTGAAATCAATATTTGCTTTTTTCAAAGTTAGTAATGATTTGTTTTGAAGTTTGCGTAATGATCTATATTGGAACAACAAATCTCAGGCACAACGTCAAACCCTTCTGTTTTCTGCCACAATGCCCAAAAAGATCCAAAATTTCGCTAAGTCAGCTCTGGTTCGACCTGTGGTGAGTCTTTTTTGTCTTGTATTCGCGCTCTTACTAGTAATATTTAGTGTTGTTACATGACCGTTCTTTGTCCCTTCCCTCGCAAAAAGTCATCTTTTCCAACTACTATGTTGAGGTTGTAAATGTGGGCCGTGCTGGTGCAGCTTCGCTGAATGTATTGCAAGAGATTGAATACGTAAGGACAGAAGATAAACTCACGAGAGTTCTGGATTGTCTTCAAAAAACAGCACCAAAGTTTGTGTACTTATTCTCTCTGCCTGTTGTAGTGGTTAAACTCAGGGTTTCGTTCAGGGTTCTTATATTTGCTGAGAAGAAAATGGATGTCGACAACATATACGAATACTTGTTAGTAAAAGGAGTCGAAGTTGCATCCATTCACGGTGGAAAAGGTAGTCTGTCATATATTTTCTTCTTGATAAGAGAGTTTCAATCATGCTTGAATTGGTTTCCAATTCAAGAGTATGAAATATACGAACCATACATTCGTTTTTGTTTGCAGAGCAACGTGATAGGCATATTGGAATAGACGAGTTCCGTCATGGTCAGAAGGATGTGCTAGTCGCAACAGACGTCGCATCAAAGGGCCTTGATTTCCAGGTATCTTTCCTGTGTTATTCATATTTACCAGTTGATTCTCAATTCATTTTAACGCTTCAAAGAAAGCTTTAATATTAAAGGCAAACACCCTTCTTAGTTAAAGAACTTTGCACGTCAGAAAGAGTACCAATGTGACATTGGTAGATAGGAAGTCGTTGGAAGTGTGGGATGAGCTAATGAGAATTTTTAATTGCGAATACTGTTTTTGTGATATAAGACTCTTGTAAATCCATTTTTATTGACATACATTCTACTCGTGTTCAGTGTCGTTGTAACGCTTGAGAGATTTGGCCCATCTATATGACCAGCCGGCTTCGCCGGCTGACGCCGGCGCGTCTTTTTCTGAGATACAGCACGGTTCGCCAAGTGGGCGCGGCTCCACCGCGCTTATCCTTTTCCACACATTTCAATACCCGCCTAATATTCGGCTTTTCTTTCATCTGAACGGATGAATTATTTCACCAATAGCACCATACCTGCTATTTTCAACACTATTACGGTGCATGAAATGGTGGAAAGGAGCGTTGATCAAGTGGACAGATGAGAGGAAAGCCGGGTATTGTCCAGCATTTGACCTACGAATGCAGTAGGCGCGACGGAGCCACGCCCCGCAAGGCCGGGCTGTATCACAGAGGAGGTCTGGAGTGCCTGGAGTGCTCTGGAACCGCTTGAGGAATTTCTAACACTGGCCCCGCTCTCCTCAACGCACGCTCCGCCCACAACGTATGCCTCGCGCTTCTCAACTGATAACCCCTCGCTGACTTCAAATTACTTTTCCCCGGTGTCTGGAGTGCTCTGGAAGCGTGTTCCGCGAACACGGTGGACTCTTGCATAATATCCTTCTTCGTCATGGACTTTTCTGCGCTCCTTAAACATTTTCGGGGACCGAGTTATCGACCTTTGTGGGAAGCGCCGCCCATCTCAAGTACGCCCCGCCCATTTCGGGTGTGTCTCCTCTGTTTGGTCAGTCAGGCCTTTGTTAACTTACTGCACTGTTTCCTCATCTCGGGACTGCTCTGGAACCGAGTTATAACTTTCTTCAGTGACAACGCTAAATTTTGACGCACGCCCCGCCGCCCCACGGGCCTACCATGAGTCATGGGTGCTATTTAGGTTTTGTCCCATGCTCTACCCATCCCCACCATAAACCGATTTCTCCAAGTTCTTCTTCAGGTGCTATGAATTTCGTGACAGACAGACAGACACACACACACACACACACACACACACACACACACACACACACACACACACCACACACACACACACACACACACACACACACACACACACACACACACACACACACACACACACACACACACACACACACACACACACACACACGGACACAGCCGATTATATCAGTAATGGATGGATAGGATGGCTTGTCTGGTCCATTCGATCTTCAATTCAATGCTCTTATTCTCCTGGAAAAATTCGTTACCAACTATCCGATTACAATGGCATTTGAAACTTGGATGACAGCGAAAACTGTGAGGTCACCTCAGGGGTGGCATTTTTGAAAACTATCGAGGCAGAAGTGGTGTAGTGGAAAACAGCACGCTTACGAGCGCTCGGGGGGTCAAATCCCGGAACGGTTCCTCCCAGGCCAACCAAGCTTTCTACCCTCCCTACCTACGAACCTTAAATGGGTGCTAGATTCATCTGGGAGGTTAAGAATACTATAATGTACATCGGATGGTCTCCGGTAATCATTATATAAGCCACATTGCATTCAGTAAGCCAAAACCAGTCTGAATTGAGGTAGAATGCATGCCACATCCCAAAAAGGTTTGATCAACGACGAATACTTTATCCTTTTATCGTAATGTCTTCAAATATTGCGGTGCTAAGCACATTCTTCAGTGGTCTGGCATTGCCCGCTATTACAGTGTAGCTACCTCCATGGGTACCTTGCCTCTTAAGAAGGACCAGAATTTTATCATTTCGCAAAAGTTACAACGAAGGGCATCTCCACTGAATCTTCTAGAAATCTTCACCGGAACAATTGTTGTTTCAGGGCATTGAACATGTTATCAACTATGACATGCCAGAGGACATTGAGAATTACGGTGAGTTATTTTGTTTGGAAGCTCTTCTTTGTGTAACGTGGGCAGGCCCGGCGCCATCACCAAGCGCACGGCATGTGGATTATGGCATACCGGGTACAACTATTCTAGTCTGCAGAGTTAGAAATGACCGATTTTGTAAATCACTCAAGTTAGAGTGGTTGAATGGTGTTGAAATTATCACAGTACACGGCTTTTAGCACATTCCGGGCTGTGTGCGCTAGCATGTGGCTCAGGTTAACACGCGGAGAAAAACTCCTTTTCCATTGATCCCTTCGGTATTTTTTTTGTTTTCTGAACTTGTGCGTGTGCGGTTTTAGGTCCGGTAAACAACACACGTATGCTGCTGTCAATGCGTCATCGCGAGATTCCCAGTCATTAAACAGAGCCAAGCTGCGGTGGTGTGGCGTAGTATAGCGGGTCGGTATCTCTCAAGAGTCCACAGAAAATCGTCTGCATGAATACGCAGCAAAGCAGTTGATAAATCCTCATTTGTACTGATAGTAGGTCCTCACATACAGTGATTTCTGTGCGAGGCAGGCCGCTTGGAAGCCGGTTGGCCCGGACGGAAGGTCCTAACCTTGCCCCACTTGGTGAGAAAACTGCGGCTTTGAGATTATTTGATGTCCACGCTCCTAACTGGTGACAAGCGTCCCCACGTGCCTTTGCTGCCGCCCTCCCGTCGGGATAGGGTTGTATGGCTTTGACAGAGGGTGGTGCGGTCGTCTGAAGGGGTTTAGATGCAAAACACGTACAACACTGTTGTAGACCGTAAACGAGAATTTAAGGCGCCTTAGCCTGAAAATCGAGCATCTCCATTATCGCATTAAGTATCGTCTATATAGCGTATTCGCAGCAGAAGCCGAACTTCATCAGTTGCTCTCTGGTTGTTTGCTTTCCGCTTCTCCCATGTACCAGAATTTTTTTCTTCGGCAGGACGTGCCCTGGTGCAGCAGCGATTACGCGTGTGTGAGTCTATCGCCGTAAAAGACAGTAAGCATTCACAACCCCACCCTTTTTGCCACGCATTTCGAAAGAACGAATGACGAATGGGTACATTGTGCGACTGCAGACTTTCCACCTTGCGAAAAGAAGAGTTCTCTCTCACCCATGTATTCGTGCCTTATGCCTCCAGGGCTCTGAGTTGAAATCCGTTGCTTTGCAGTTCATCGTATCGGACGTACTGGCCGTTCGGGTAAGCGTGGGATGGCAACGACATTCATCAACAGGAAAGCGGGTGGGTTCTTCGGACTGTTAGCTTGGTTTTTTTGGCGCATACCGCCCTATATTGTGAGAGCATTGTTCGTGTTAGTCAGAAAACCGTCAAAACACTGCGATGAAAAGTTTATTGGGTGCAAACTGTTTTCTCTTTCAGATCTCTCGGTGATGCAGGACTTGAAGCAGTTGCTCGTTGAAGCTGGTCAGGAATTGCCAGCGTTCCTTCGAGATCTGGCCGGCGACGCTGAAGAAGCCCCGACTGATAACGCCGACGACAAGGTCTGCTACCACATTCATCGATTAAATGTAGCTAATTTAAACGGTCGCTTCAGGGCTGCGCTTATTGTTCCGGTCTTGGTCACAGAATTACGAATTGTCCAAAGCTGGCTGGTATAAATACCAAGGTAAGTAAACACAATTTTTTTTCAGCTAATTTAGATCTCTGTTATCGAGTCCTTCTAGTTTCTATTCTCTTTCTCCTCTACCAACTTCATATTCAGGCAGCTCAATCACTGGCTCGAGCTGGCGACGATGATGGAGCATACTAGTCAAGTGATCCCTGCGTTTCTGAGCACTAGCTGCATAAGCATCTTTGATATACGGGTGATATTGAGGCGAGATTGCCTTTAGTAAGAGATTTGACTTGAAATTCATATTTGTCTATAACTTGACCTCTTGAATGGGAATATGACACCCAATTGGCTTATGGTTAGATGGTTCGACGTCTGGGTGCGAAAGTGGGAAGTTTCCGCGTTGAACGGAGTTTGTTAGATTGCGGGTAACGCTAATCGTAAAAGTTTCCAGGGATTGAAAGGTTTTCACTATGGCCGCTAGGAGGTTTTACATCAAAGGGATTCGTGCAAAATCGACCCAACAACTTTTCGGGACAAGCTTCTGGCTCAAACTAGTCCAACCCTAAAAAGCTTGAGAAAGTAGGGAAGGATGGCACCAGAGCCCATTGGGAAGGATGGCACCAAAACTCCTTTCTTTTGTTTTCCAAAACTTTCTTTTGTTTCCCAAAACCTCTCGCATCGGATTCGCGCAAGTGAATGTATTAAGAGGGGCAAAACCACTTCATTTCCGCTGGTTCCTTATTCAGAGATGAAATCATGAACAGAAAGTTCGTTTGTTGTTTGGCTTGTTACATATGTATTTATGTGTTGTTGATGTACTATTGTGCGTTGAGTTTACTTTTCATTTTCTCAGCTGTGTTTGAATGGCTAGCGATGCAAGAGATCTCACTGGAAGGATTGCCTACCTCCAAGAATATTGAATAAACACCTTTGTCAGTAACAACGGTTTTCCTGAAAAGTTTGTCCCTTTTTGCATTCTAAGAGAACATGTTAGAATAAGAGAACCGCTGACATCGCAAAGAACCACACAAGAAAACAGTGCAGTCGAGGGCAGACTCAAACAAGGTCAGAATGCGTCGCTTGCGACCTCCCCTTGACGTTGCTGTACCATCTCACCAATTTGAAAATTTTGTACTAAAAACCCCGAGACTTTCGTGAACTTTGTTACTTTCAGTCTGCAAGACTACGACTTACGTGGTGAATTACGTGTAAGTATTCTGTTGCCTGCACCGTCGTAGGACCGCAGAGAATCTCAGCTTGTCGACTCCTTCGCGAGCTCACAAAATGTATTGCTCTCCCGTGATCCCTTCTTGTAATCACTAAGTCGGCAGCAGTCTATTTCCCAAGGCAACAGTGCTGATCAAATTCAGCAAAAATGCGATGGAGTTGGTGCAAAAGCTCGTCATGCATTGCTTACCATAGTCATAATTTCATTCACAGAGTTTTCGAAAGCTGTTTGTTCCAGCATTCCTTCCTTCGTTTTTATCTTTAGTATTAAACGGCATTTAGTAGTGAGATCCGAATAAACAATCTGTGAGCCTGGGGTTGCACAGAGACCGCAGGGTGTCGAGTTGTCAGCTAATCCGAAGTTACTTTTCACTGGGTAGTTACTTATCGGTAATGCCGGTTCCTAATTGAACATCCAACCCGTAACAGTTGATCGCAGGAATTGTCTTCATTCACAGAGCCGTGATCATGAGGAATTAGCCGCCATATGGAGCCTTCAGTCAAATTGGACAGAAGGTTTCATTACCAGTGGACTTGTAGTTGGTAGCGTCGCAACTATTGGGTGGCGATGCAGGGCACATCATTGGTTGGGGATTTTAGTCGAGTCCGTACGACCCGACCCCTCCCCTTTTTTGGGAGTTGGTACGACTACCCCCCGTGTTCCTCTTCATCGAATCGAGCAGTCCAGCCGAGGGGCGGGGGGAGGGGGGGGGGTAAATAGCACATGTGAAACAGGAAAAGCCGCGAGACAATACGACCCCCCCTTCTACCGATTTTCAGATTTCCCCCAACTTCCTGCTACATTTTCTGAAATTTCGAAAATTTTTCCCCTTTGCTGTCGAGGGGTGCATATAGTACGCATGAAACAGGGAAATCACCAAAAGTCAAACACCACTCCTACTATGACCCCCCCCCTCCCAACAATGACCAAGTACGACCCCCCCCCCCTCCCCCTTTACAACGTCCGTGAAGCGAGAAAAATCAACTATCAAAATAAATTTTTCCCAGCCCAAATACGACCCCTCCCCTCTCCTGGACCAAATACGACCTTCCCCCCTACTGGGGATTCCCAACAACGATGTGCCCTGGAGCGATGTCTGTACGAGTGTGTGTACTTAGTCGGAAAGATGTACGGTAGGGAACCTGTAGGAGTACTGTGGAGCAGGATGAGAGTACGTTGCATCTTACAACTTTTCCCTGTGGCATGACCTCACCTAACTGCTTGAGCTGGCTCTCGATCTCTTACACTTAGCAGAGTCACCATAATTACCATGTCTTGGCTTTAATGAATAATGAAACTCTTTACTACCTGGCAGGGAAATGAAGTTAAAGAGAAACAGAGGCATCTCTTCAAACAAAAGTAAGTTCAGAAATCATACACCTTTGTTGGAAGCAGATGAGCCCGTGTTTTGACATGGCCCCTCCAGCCAGTGGCCCTTCAAATGGTTGAATTTGACAGCAACTTGAAATTTTCTACTTCTTCGCTGATTTTTGACTTCCTTGCCGCTCCAAAGTGATAGCCCGCGAACAACTTGAATTCGACGAACGAAGGGATGTTTCGAGAAGGAGCGCTGATGACTTTCATTGTTGATATGCACCAACGGAAATCACATCTGTGATGTGGTTATTACACGCAGAAGAGGTGAAATTCACGTACATAGAACAGAATTTATCAAAGCGCAAATGACAGATTGAATTGACGGTGATTGATTTGGTAAACGACGAAGATGTCATTGCTGTGGTGCAGTCTTGGCTACAGATGCAACCCGAAAACTTTTGGACAGAGCGGAAAAAAAAACTAGTGAAACAGGGTAGAGGGGGTTGAAGTCTGACTAGGGAAGTTCGCCATCTTACCATGGAACTTTGAATGGAGACCTGGGTAGATCGATAGGTCTATAAGGTTATTTACAAATATAGATAGCAAAACTGCAACCTGCATTTCACAAGCAACTTATGAGCAGGTAAAGTTTGTAATGGTGCAGTAGGGTGGAGGCTTGGTGGTGAGCTGTGAAGCATAAGCGAGGAATCGTAGAATCGAGTCGTCGAACGTCGAACCTTACCACTGAACCACCACGACTCGATTCGACGTATGCGATTCTCGCTTACGCTTCACAGCTCACCACCAAGCCTCCACCCTACTGCATAAATTATTAGGTCGTTGCAAAAGAAATGCAGGATTTCGTTTTTTTGTATTTAATACTTATTTTATTCCAATAAAATGTAAGTGTTATATATCATTCGAAAGCTTATCTAATGCTCTTTCTAAATGATACTTCAAGATTGGTTGTAATTCTTTTTAGAGGCCACAAAATCGTTGAAGGCGTTTTTGACATCGTCTTGGTTTTTGAAGCCTTTCTCTCTAAGATAGTTGTCCAGATGCTTGAAAAAGTGGTGATCGGTGGGCGACAGGTCTGGTGAGTATGATGAGGCAGAGTTTCATAGCCCAATCCGTTTATTTTCTGGAGGGTAAATTGTGCAAAGTGTGGTCGGGCATTGTCGTGGAGAAGAGTCCGGAATCGTGGAGTCCCTTCATATTGACCAACCTTGGGCACATGCGTTAAGGCTTCTGATGCATTTCGTCGATTTGTTGACAGTACTTCTCTGCCGTAATTGTTTCACCAGGATTCAGGAAGCTGTGATGGATGAGACCGGCGGCAGACCACCAAACATGAGGTTCATCTTCAAGGCTGGTGTTGCCACAGCGAAACTTCTGGAACCAACGTTGGACCGTAGATTCGTTGATACTTCCTTGACCCCAAACTTCGTTGATGTTCCGAGCTGTATCGGCAGCGTTTCGTCCTAGCTTGAACTCATAGAAGAAAATAGTGCGAAATTCACGTTTCGACATCTGCAATAAAATGTCAATAAAAATTATAATAAAATGAATTACAACCAATCTTGGAGTATCATTTAGAAAGAGCATGAGATGAGCTTCCGAATAGTATATAACACTTCATATTAAAGTAACATATTATTGGAATAAAATAAGTATGAAATACAAGCAAGCAAAATCCTGCATTTCTTTTGCAACGACCTAATACAAACTTTACCTGCTCATAAGTTGCTTGTGAAATGTAGCTTGCAGTTTTGCTATCTAATTTGTGAATAACCTCATAGACCCGATCTACCCAGGTCTCCACTCAATGTTCCATGGTACGTTGGCCTTCCCTGGTGAGTCTCAGTCCCCTGTCGTTTTCTCAAATGAACGTTTTCTCAAAAGTCCCTCTACTTTTTAACTCCTCTCGTACACAGAACGTGTTTTCAAGCAGTAGTATGACATGAAAAGCCCACTTAAGCAGGTCCTCGAAGCCTCCAAGGTGGAATTTTATCAGGTTTTGGAATCCACAAGTTTTGCTCTGAACTGAGCTACCCACACTGAAGTAGGTGTATTTACGGGATAAGATTGCGCTTGGCCTACCACAGTGGCTGTGTGATCTGACTTTGCTATCGAGGCCAAGTGAATGTCATATTCGTGTTCAGGAGGTCGGATTACCCCTAGAAGTCAACTTTCAGCCAAATCCACTCCCGTAGAAAAAAGTCGATCAAGATGCCTGTTTTCGCAAAACTATGGTAGTAATAGTTGAGTAGTGCCGAAATTTATGGCTGTTCAGTGCATAAAAACTCATAAGTGACACTAAAATTCAGCAGCGGCGTCACAACTGGAGAATCACCTTGGAAAGGAGGTGTTTGAAACCGTGCTTTCTAATCTTCCGGAACTTCACTCTCAAATAAAGACTCAAGAAAAATCAGAAAAGGGTACCTCTAGATATTTACGTGTAATTCTTTTGTGCCTGCGAGGTTGTTTATTTATTTATTTATTTTATTAGTAAATACTACTAACAACTGACTGGGCGGCTTCTTCCGCTCTTGCCGCGGTGGACTTGGCCTCCGAGGACGACGATCTGGTCGAAACGTTAGGCCGTCAATAAACAGTTCCACCTAACAACCTCGCAGGCACAAAAGAATTA